ATTACCTAGATGTGGTAATAAGTCCATTAAATGAAAGGTAAAAAGGAGTATTCGTTCTTAAGCTTGCTTTGATGAATAATTAGTGAGGTTAATGTGTTGATTGTGCGTGTGTGTATGCTGAAATTGTGTGAATGTGTGGGTGCTGATTGTGCATGGTGTGTGTGCCGTGTGTGGTTGTGTGTTTATGTGTGTGAAATTGGGATTTTTGCTCAAAATATAATTATGTGGTAAATTGTGATATTTGTGTAATTTGTGGCACTTGATTGATATTTGTGATGTCATGTGTGGGTTATAGCATTATTTCGAAAAGTTGAAAAAAAAATGATTTTTACTTGAAAGGTTAATGGAATATCAGGTAATAAACAACTCGGATATAGTGGGCCGGTATCCAACTAGGATGATGTGGTAGAGGTTTGATTCCACTTAGTGAAAACGGGCTCGTAACAGGTTTATTATCCGGTACAGAAATTAATCTTTCACGGATCCGATAAACCGAAAAATGTGTTTTTCATGATTTTCACAAAAAGGGCATTTTAGTCATTTTGCATAATTACGTGATCTTATTAAATGATGTGTTTTCGTGAGATATGTGATTTGACCGATTGCCTTGTGTTGTTGTGCGAAACGTGGGTAAGAACGGGTATACAATATTATATATTATGTATAACGTATTTCCAAAGTTCGATAATACTCGGATTTCTTACTGAGCTTTATAGCTCATATAGATGTCTTTTAATTGCAGGTAGTAGTAATCCTCAGCCGGGATGGATCGAGTAGTGGATCGAGGTCTTGCCCGGGATTTTGGAAGAAGTACGAGGACCTATGAACGTTGCTAGAACTTTTGGTTATTTTCTTTTGGTGGTGTAACCCTAAAACCGTAACATTTCTCTTTTCGTACTTTTGAACTCGTTTTTCATTATGAATCGCACTTATTTCCTACCTTAATATGTTGAGTTTCGTGATTTGCCATTTTCATGTCTTCGCTAGAAAACTTCGAATTATTCACCAAAATAACCTTTTCGAACTCTGATTTATTCTCGAACCAAAAACCGATCGTGATATTGTAGCACTCGAACGAAGAACCTCCTTTCGAAACTTATTCCAAAAAAACGAAATCTTTGTTCGGCTAAAGTAACCCAAGAAAAGTTATTCGTGAAAGTGCAAGTTTTCATTACCCAAAGGAGTAAATTTTTGATAATTGCATTTTCGCCCCATTTCAATGTTTCAATATTTACAAAGAGATCCTTTGCTTCCGCAAGTTTAATAAATATTCCGATAAACCGGTTCGATTTATCGCCCGACTAGAAGGGGGGTGCTACATATATATATATATATATATATATATATATATATATATATATATATATATATATATATATATATATATATATATATATATATATATATATATATATATATATATATAGATATATATATATATATAGATATATATATATATATAGATATATATATAGATATATATAAAATAAAAGGATGAGAAGAAGAAGAAAATAGTAGAAGGGAGAAAAAAGGAGTAGGAGTTGAATTATTTTGAAAGCTCGATCTATTTGCTCAAGAGCAAGAGTAAACAACTTTTGTAATCTTGAGAATCCAGTTTATTAAGTCCTTAGACGTGAATTCATTGTTTCAATCGCCTATCTTTAAAATTTTGGAGTAATCACCTCAATTCAAGAAGTTTAGCCACTTATACCCATATTTCCTACCTTGAACAAAAACACCTAACGATTGAAAGCCAAAAATCCCCAATGATCCCAATAGCTTGATATTCGGTATTAGTAGAGTATAAGAATTTGATGAGAATTTGGAGTCAAACATATGATGGGAAAATTACAGTTTATGTCCCTAAACTTTACCACTAAAACGATTTATGTCCTCAAACATTTCAATCCACGAAATATGTCCTCAAACTTATAACTTTTGATCACTTTATGTTCTGCCGTTAACGTCGGGAGCTAACTTCGACGGAAATAGCACGTCACGTGATGTGGAGACATTTCCGGAGTTAGCACGTCACGTGACCTGTTTTTTTCCGGAGTTAGCTCACGTCACCTGTTAATGTCGACCTGTACAACACCCAGTGCCTACTTGGTCGACGAAACGTGATGTGGAGCGACACGTCATTCTCCTCCCCTATTTATATTCTAAAATCCCTAATTCTCCATATCCCCAATGAACCCGTAAATCCAATGCCTAAAACCCCATTTCGAATCCTTCAATTGAGGTGAAATTCGAAAATAGCAGAATCGTCTGTGAATCCATGGCCCTTTTTTGTGGTGTTTTACCAGCAAAATAGCCCAATATACAAATGCCGAATGTTTCCTCGATTTCACTTTCATCTTCGGGCTGAAATATCATGTCTTCTTCCACTTCGTTGGGGAAGTCGGGTAGCTGGAATCCGTTGTTGGGCACTCTATTCTTGGCGAAAAAAGAATTATATGCAGCTTTGACAGGTGCTGCATGTTTTTTTTTTTCCGGAATTGGTTCAGACATTTCGTCGAACACCTTCTGGGCAGGTTCTGAATTTGCTGAGTTGGGTAGAATTTGTGCCATCTTCACCATCCTTGTGCTCGCTTCATTGAGACCACAAGGGGCACAAGCATCAGCAGGCGAAGAATCACACGACCCCAACGTTCTAGAGACGGAGTTGGGAGAAGAATTAAAGCTTCCTCTAAAATCTTTTTTCAGAACCAGAAGAGGAGTCGCGTTTACCTTCTTCCTCTCGATTGCAGGCATGTGTTTGCACGTGAATCTGTTGTTTTTTGAGAAGGGAAAAACTCTTCAAATGTGAGAATATTTGGATTTTTTATGGGTTTATGACTTCGATTTTAATATGGGTTCGAGCAAGAATGCAAATTGGATTGAAAATTTGGGAATGGGTTGAGGTGATTGAAATTGTGAAGTGTGGAAAAATTATGGTGTATGGGAATGAAACGTGATTTGGGATTTGGGATTTGGGATTTGGGAGAGTGAGTTAGAGGAAATTAGTATATTCTTGTGCCACGTCAACATTTAATATTCAATATATTATTACACATCACATTTAACGGCCACATAGACGTCACGTGAGCCTCGCGTGCTATTTCCGTCGAAGTTAGCTGACGACGTTAACGGCAGAACATAAAGTGATCAAAAGTGGCAAGTTTGAGGACATATTTCGTGGATTGAAATGTTTGAGGACATAAATCGTTTTAGTGGTAAAGTTTAGGGACATAAACTGTAATTTTCCCAACATATGTACATAAGTATAATTTTTTTCTATTTTTAATTAACAAATATTGGATGCTTGAAGCAACTGTATGATTTGTGGTTTTTTGCAATGGTAAGTGACTAAGTGCTTTTGAATTGCGAGCTTGCAAGTATAATTTTTACTATAGTTAAAAGTTCTCAAAACGTGAAATTGGTCAATGATCTATGTGAGGAGATGCATTAGTTGAGTTATTTGCTTATGATTAATTTTTGCTTGAAGACATGCAAAAATTCAAGTTTGGAGGTGTGTTAAGTGTATATTTGTACACTTAATATTTTAATTGGAGCTTTTGGTGTATTTTATTGATAATTGATGCTTAAATTTTTGATTTATTGTCCTTCAGGCACAAAGTGATGAATTTGATAAATTGAGGGTCAAAACTGTAATTTATAAGAAAATGTAGACAAAATCGGACAAGTCAAAGCCACTGGACCGGTCAAGATCTCAGACGGCCGTCCGAGTCAAGAAAAAGGAAAAATAACTCACGGCATTTCGGATGGCTATCCGAAATGTAGTTCAAAACACCTAACGGTCGTCCGAGCAGGTGGGGCTGCTAAGGAATTTCCAATTGTACAAGGAAAAACTGCCTTTCGCCAACTTTTCCAACTTATAAAAGGTCATCTCAATTCTCAAGCACAAAACCAGGGGTCCTCTTTTTACGCAATTGTGAGAATAAAGAAGCAATAACGAAGACGAAGAATTTGTAGACATATTAGATCTGCCCATGGCTGTTGTGAAGATGTTTGTTTGTGTACCAAGAAGTAGCAGGTTCCATGATATTATTCTTAGAACATTTTATTTGCGAATGACATGACTATGTATTTAAGAGGGTAAAGAATAAGAGAAATTAGATTGGTTTTTAATTTTTAGTAGAGGTTAGGAAAAAGCTGGAACAAACATACAGGCATAAACAACTGTTTCATGAAGAACTCTGTACTGAAAAAAAATGCTGCTAGCTAATGAATTCGACTTGCTTTTCTCTGTGAATTTTGTTCGACTTTACATAATAAACACTACTAAATCTTGATCTAAATAGGAGGAAGAAATCTTGGAAGTTTATAAACTAAAATGTTAAATAGTAATCAATGACATGGAAGAAATTAGGAAATATTTTTATTCATAATTTTTCTTTTATTAAAAAATCAATTAAAATATAATTTTTATGACATTTTGTTTTTGTCAAAGTAGAGCTACAACAAAATTGATAAATTATCATAGCAACTACATCACATAAAAATATTATTTAGGGTAAATTGCACCCATACTAGCTAAAGTAATAGTCCGTTAGAATCCTATCGGAGTAATGTATCCAATTTATTATCCCATTAGAGTTTCTAACTATGTTTCAGGGGTAAGTGTAATTATCGATACCACAAGGACCTTAAAATTATTTTAGCATACCTCAGAAGTATTGAGTGTAATTTATCCTATTATTTAAATGTAATTAATTATTGAAAAGCTAGAAAACCTCAACTCATATATTCGTGCAAGTCATCAATCTCTGCAAATTACATATATTAATGTTTGACTTTCTTTCGGCTGATGCATATTGGTAGGTGTTTATGATGAAGACCTTATTGTTATCAAATGCCAAATATATGCTGACTGAGTAACAACTTAATTCACAATCTTTCCAGTTTGATTATCCTATTTTGACTTTGCTCTGATCTTCTTGTTAGTGTCTAAGAAATCACAAATTTTTCATAATCTGTTAGTCGATTATCCAAAAAAGATGGCTGCAACATATGCGGCTTTAGTTTCTCTCACTCATACTATTGACCAGATCCTCAATCCACCTCCTCATCATCACTTCAATTTTGATCGTGATCAGATTAATTGTCTACGACAAAAAGTCGATTTCTTGATAGATTTTCTCGAAAAAAATCAATCAAGTACTGGAGGAGATCACAAAGAGATCGAAGATTTGGAGACGAGAATCAGGGTTGTAGCTGAAGGAGCAGAGTATATCATCGAAGACAATGTGATGAACCACATTCTTGCTGGATCTGAAGTCGACAGATCAGTAGAAACCTCAACCTTATCTGAAGGTGTACAAACATCAATACAAGATTTTGATTCCATCGAGGAAGAGTTGGTGAGAATCGAGAAAGATCATGTGCAGCATAAAAACTCCATAACAACGGAAGCTAGTTTATCATCATCGTCATCGAGGCCTCTTCTTCCGATTGGCAAAAACATCATGGTGGGATTCGACGGCCACGTGAACGAAATTATGGGTGCTCTCTCCACCGATGAATCTAATCGTCAAATTATCCCTATTGTTGGAATGGGAGGCATAGGTAAGACTACTCTTGCCACTCATGTCTATACCAATCCTTTTATCGTGCAACACTTTCATGTTCGTGCTTGGTTTACGGTTTCCCAAGAATATACCAAAAAGGAGATTCTTCTAGGCCTTTTGCATAAGATTAATAATAAAAATTCAAATGATGCACATGACATGAATGATGAAGATGAACTTGGAGATAAATTGCACAAAACTCTGTTTGGGAGGAAGTATTTGATAGTGATGGATGACATGTGGGATATCAATGCGTGGGAGATGATAAATATGTTCCTTCCAGATAACAATAATGGAAGTCGAATCTTGGTAACTACTAGGCTATTGAGGTTGGCTATGGATATTGGGTCTTGTCGCCCTTATCAACTAAATTTCCTAGATGAAGAACAAAGTTGGGATCTACTCTCCCAAAAGATATATGCAGACAAATGTTGCCCCGTTGAACTCGAGGTAATTGGAAGAAGTATTGCAAAAAAATGCAGAGGTCTTCCTTTGGCCCTTGTTGTTATTGGTGGGGTTCTTGCAAAGTCGAAAACAGAAAATTGGAAGTACATTGAAGAAGATGTAACTTCAGCAGTGCGCAATCAAGATGACGAGTTTTACATGAAGATATTATTGTTGAGTTATAATAACATGCCTATATATCTCAAGCCTTGTTTTCTTTACTTTGCCGTGTTCCCAGAAGATTATACCATCAAAGTTTCCAAGCTAGTCAGTTTGTGGGTTGCTGAAGGATTCATAAGGCAATGTGGGCATAAAAGCTTAGAAGAAAATGGAAATGAGTATTTGGAAGATCTTATAGATAGGAATCTCGTTTTGGTTGATTGGAGATCAATTAGTGGAGAAGTGAGGTCCTGCCGCATTCATGATCTTTTAAGTAATCTATGTAGGACAGAAGCTCAGAAAGACAATTTTATTCTTACTAGAAAACTTTATAACCCCAATACTTTAAGTTACCTAAAGATCACACAACGCCTCAATATTAATGGTGGCAAATGGAAAGGGATGAAACTTACGCCCGATACATCACCAGTACCTATACGGTCTTTGTTATGCTTCTCTCCTGAGGATTCAAATGATTACACTGTTGATCAGGTTGGGTTACTACGGGTATTGAATGGGGTTGATAGATATCCTATACATGAAATTCTACAGCTAATTAACTTAAGATATGTTTCTTGCATGGGTCCGATGACTGCGATGTCGTCTTCTATATCCCGACTTTGGAGTCTACAAACTTTAATTGTTGATGGAGAGTTGAATTTACCAAGTGAGATATGGCAGATGCCCCAACTTCGACATGTTGAGGCCACACGAATACATCTGGCTGATCCTCCTCCAGATGATGTCAAGAACATCATACTTCTTCAAAATCTACAAACACTTTCAACAGTCATAGATTTGAAATGCACTGAAGCGGTAATTAAAAGAATCCTAAATATCAAGAAGTTTGGAATTATTTGTCCGACATTTGGATCTATTTTTTTAAGAAATCTTGGCCATCTCCATAAACTTGAAGAACTTTATTTGCAATGTACTCCTTGTGGTGGAGATGTTGTCTTCCCAAATTCACTTAAACGGTTGATCTTACGTGGATGCAAGATTCCTTGGGAAGATATGTCTGTTGTTGGTTCACTACCCAACCTTGAAGCTCTCACGTTGTGGACAAATGCTGTTGTAGGCCAAAAGTGGATTTCAAAAGAAGGGGAATTCACTCGACTCAAGTTCTTGTACATTTATGAGTGTGAATTGGAGATATGGGAAGCAGACAATACACATTTCCCATGTCTTGAAATTCTAAGTCTTGGGTACTTAAACCTCAAGGAGATCCCGTCTGAATTTGCCGAAATATTATCACTTCAAGCGATTAACTTTGATTGCAATAGCAACAATGACCTTTTGCTATCAGCAAATGAAATATCAGAGCAACGAGAGAACCTAGGATACAATGCTCTTCATGTTCAAAATTTCACATGTGGAGTGTTCAGAATTTGGGTGAAGAGAGGTATTAATCTTGTTGTTGTTAATGACGGCCACATCGGAGATCCTTATGTTGTTATCACGAGTTCCAAACAGGTTTTGCGTTCTTACTTCTTGATGTTTTTTTTTTTTTTTTTAATTTATTATTAGTGTTCCATTTACCCTCACAAAAATATTTCTTAAACAAAAATCATTACAAATTATTAATATTCAAGGATAATTTTATCATACTGCACTCCAAACGTCACACAACCTCCGCTTGCCTACATTGTTGTGGTTTAAAAATTCTAAAATGACCTCTCATCGCATGTCGTCTCTTTCACTTTCATTGTTGACATATACCTCCCACCATTGCTGTTGTATTTTCTTTCTTATTAGTTAGATACAATCTCAAAGGGAGGTCATAACATAATTTACTGAATTTGGAATAAGTTTTTAATCACAATCAGAACTCCGGAAAAGTTTGTGTCAGTATATAATTGGACCTTAACTCAAGGGACAGCACATTAATTTATTATCCTTTGCATATGTGCATATATTTGCATTAAATATTTTGCCTTTCGAGTTTTCTAGAACAAAATTTGCAATTTAGTATAAATCTTTATGATGCAGAGTGTGAAGACTCGTGTTGTGACGAAAGATATTAATCCGGAATGGGACGAGAAACTCGGAATTCGTGTTGCAAATCGCAGTCATTCAATTTCTCTGGTGAGGTTCTTTAATTTATAATATATAAAAGAAAATCTGATAGCAAGTGGTACAATATTTCTTTGAGTTAAAAATGTGAAATTCAATGTAGAATGAGTTCATCCAAATAAGTTCAACTTATTATAGATTGGAAATCTTTAGTTTCAATGTATGCTGATTCATAGTGTATGTATGGTTGTAGACAGTGCATGACCGCACCAAGTTCAAATTTGATGACAAGTTGGGAGAAGCGAATTTGGATATTAGACCGTTTTTTGAAGCCGTGAAATTGAATCCAAATGGCCTTCCAAATGGTTCAATAAGCGCACGAGTATTGCCTTCGATCTCCAATTGCCTTACCGAAGAGAGTTCCGTTTTCTGGGAAAATGGGACAGTAAAACAGGACATGTGCCTGAGATTGAAAAATGTCGAATGTGGAGCAATCGAACTTCAACTCGAGTGGATTAATAAATTTAAACAACGGCGGGCTCAAAATACAACTCACGCGGTGGATTGAAGTTCGTGCTTACACTAATTTATGGGTGTGTTTGGATCAAGTAAAACAATCAATAAAACAGTGAATACTATGTAAAATACTAATTTATGGGAAAATTGCATATCACCCCTGTAAATTTCTGATTTTCGCACTTTACCCCTTCAATTTGTTTTTGAAAGTCAATGTACCCTTCAAAATGTTATTCTTGTTGCACTTTGCCTCAATAGCAAAATTCCGATGGATTAATCATCGGAATTGAGTATTTTTGTTGCACGTTGTCCCTTTAAATGTTAATTTTGTTGCACGTTGCCCTTTTAAATGTTATTTTTGTTACACGTTGCCCCTTAAAACTCTACTCTTTTGCACGTTCCCCTTATCAAATGTTGTTTTTATTGCACAATGCCCTCCAAAAAATGGCTCCTATGACAAAGTGCAACAAAATAATATTTCAAAAGGAATTATCCATTTATTGAATTTCGAATGGGAGAAACTATAAAAATGGGAAATTTATAAGGGTTGAAGTGCATTTTGTCCTTTATATATTTAACAAAAGCACAACTTTACATGAAAATTAATTGCGTTTACGTTTTTTCTTATTTCAGAAAATCAGTGTGATCCAATAACAGTCCATAAGTCTTTGAAATGTGTCAGCATGATGATTTGACACTTTGCACTCTTAAATTATATGCTATTGACATTTTGCATCCTTAAATTGGAAAAATAGCAGAATGCCTTCCAATTACATTTTACTTGGCACTTTGCACCCTAATTTATTTTTTTTGCTAGAAAAGTGACATGCTACCTATTAAAGAGGGGTAGATTTATCTTTCTTTATTGTTCACAAACTTAAATATATTTCATCTTCTTCATTTCACATATCCAAACCCGACGATGACAACACAAAGAACAACTAATGTTCATTGTTCTCTATCAAGAGTCTGAGATACTTTAGTCCAATTTTTAATAAAATTTATATTTTATTTAATTTAGAATAAATACGTATTCAATAAAAAACAAGCATTCAAAATTAATGTATGTTAATGTGTTACATTCAGATAAAGGTCATGCAATCTGCAATTCCATAAATTTTCATCACTTAGATATTATTTTTAAACATATAATAAAAATAACTTTTTCTTCTTCGTATAGGCTTAAAAGGAGAATTATGTACATATTATGGTTATTTGTGCAAAAAAAGTGTTTACTTCTACTGTTTTCGTTACATAAATTGGTTCAAACATCAAATGCCTTGATGGTTTTAGTACAATCCAAGAAACGCATGTAAAGATTATGAACAAGATTTTGAGCTAGACAAGAAAGCACACATTCTGGTGTGAATGTGTTAAAATATCTGCAAAGTGAGTTCTACTTTTCAGCAATTACAAGCATTGCTTTTGCGTTTAGTAGACATCTTGGTTCTATTATGCATGATTGCATTCAATCTTTTTATCTTAATATTAAGAGACATCAAAAAGACAAATGGAATAATCAAAACACATTCACTACAAGAAATATTGGTTTTAGTGACGATTTTGTATGGTCGCTAAAAGTTAGAAAATGGTAGCTAAAACTTCTAGCGACCAAATTAAGTTTGGTCACCGGTGGTCACAACAGGGTAGTTACTAAAAGTACTCAGCGACAAGAAAATTAATTGGACGCTAAAATATGAGATTTAGCGGCGAATTAATAATGGTCACTAAAAATATAATTATTAACGACCAGTTTTTGACTCGCTAATGTAAATTTTATGGTAGCAATAATATTAACGTGGTTGCTATAGCAACATATATAGTGGCCATATAATTTTGGTCGCTAAATGATATATACGTATAGTGACCATATTTTATTGTTGCTATAGGATATATATTTGGCCACCACATTTTTTGGTTGCTACATAATATACATATAGTTAGACACGGCCACGGGCCGGTTTTGGGCCCGGAACCGGCCCGAACCGGCCCGTTGACGGCCCAAACCGGCCCGTTGACCAAGTGAACCGGCCCGGGCCCGTGAACCGGCCCGTCCCACCCGGGACGGGCCCGGTTCTGAAAATTGATGAACCGTGAACCGCCGGGCCGGCCCGGCGGTTCACCCGGATTTTAAAAAAAAAAAAAAACAAAAAAAAATTCGAAAAAATTCAAAAAAAAGTGAATAACGGCCGGGTTGAACCGGCCCGAACCGGCCCGGGTGAACCGGCCCGGGTGAACCGGCCGTTATTCACTTTTTTTTGAATTTTTTCCCCCCCAAAATTTCATAAAATAATTCAAAAAATCATTTAAAATTCAAAATCTTTAAAATTTTAAATTTAAAATTAATTTCAAGTCTTTTCATTTATTTCATTTTCCTTTTTCTATTTAAAAGTACTTCTTTTAATTTACTTATTCATAAAATATTTCAAAAAATCATTTAAAATTCAAAATCTTTAAAATTTTTAATTTAAAAAAAAAAAAAAAAAAAAAATCAAAATTTCCGGGCCGACCCGGAACCGGCCCGGATAGGCCCGGAACCGGCCCGAACCGGCGGGCCGACCCGGCCCGCTGAACCGCCCATTCCACGGGCCGGTTCCGGTTCCGGAAATTGTGAACCGTGAACCGGTTCGAACCGGCCCGGAACCGGCCCGAACCGGCCCGTGGCCGTGTCTACATATAGTGACGGTATATATTGGTTTTTAAATAATATATATCTGTTGGTTGCTAAAATATATACATATAGTGACCATATTATTGGTAGCAATAGTTTTTACATGGTTTCAACAATTATTAAATTTACTGACCAATTCAGACCAATAATTAATTGGTTGCATTAATCATTAATGTTTATTTGCAGCAGTAGCTGTAAAAATAAAATTAAAATAAAATTAAACATTGCAAATTTACATATTATCAATCAAATGTGAATATTATAATTTCAATTTATCATATTAAATACAATAATAAATCAATCATTCCAAATAATAAAAAAAGATTACTATTATTATTTCATAATAAATTCCACTTCATAAATTGTTAAGCGACAACAAATATGACTTCCACGATAACGTCCTTTCACTTCATCAAACAGTCCAACCTGAAAAAGGGGAAAAAAAATCAATTAGAAAATAAAAAATCATATGAAATTCCAATTATGCAATCAAAGTACATAATACTAAGTATACCTGGATCCACGATAAATAAATCTCGTATAAACGTGAGTAACACCCGATAATCTAATATTATATTCTGTGTCAGCTCCATCTAAAATAAGAGTATTAATTTGTTTAAATTTATATATGTCAAACAAAAAGCCAGCTTCTTCTAGTAACAAAAGAGAGAACAAAATATATGGTACCAAAGAACAAAATTGTGACGCCCACTATCGAAATACAATGATCCTAAATGGTCCAAGAGTCGGGAAAAGAACGATTTGCGTTCAATGAACAAGAAACAAATCATTTAGAATCATAATAGAAGAAGTAGTTCCAACTAGTATACAAGTAAAGATGTGAAACAATTCCGAATTGATAGAGAAACAAATTGAAACTGGTTGAATTATTCAAGGTAGATAAAATAACTCAATTGAGTAATCAAGGAATCGGGATGAGAAATTACTCGAATAATTCCCGAATCAAGATGAGAACTTATTAAGTTCCATGAAGAGGATTTCGAATCGATCATTATTTTCAACAATTCAAGAATCAAAGTAACATATATCACATTTAAGTGATCAAGAAGCAATAAAATATCTTATTCTCAGTGTGCATTCTATTTTTCCAATAAATAATAGTGAAGAAATAGAGATCCTCACCTGAAATAATGCAAGTGCAATAAAAACACCTTACTCTCGAATCATGCTCAAGTCTTGAATGAGAGCATAAATATACTCAACACCTATGAAATATTAGAATTAAATAAGTTATCGAATGTTAACATAATCGTTTACTATTCGGTTCTATTTCATATAAACATCCTAACTTAAATCTTATGCCATAACTGACAATCGAACATAATACACAATTTCTATGGAGTTCTATTTACCAAATACAACACACTCCAGCATCAATTCACATGGTACGGAGTTGACTCGTGTTTGTTTGACGAGTTCTCGAAACAAAGGTTTAAAACATTTGTTTCCACAATTTCTTTGAAAAATCAAGACAATTGGTACGATTATCCAAATTGGGAACGTAATATGCCAAATGAAAGCTAACAACTGCATCTACATGTTCACTGAAGACTCTGATCACAAACTATGATCCCAGCATATTCAAAACATGCCCAAAAGATGATTACAGAAAACTGCCCGAATTTTGGATAAATTCTCTTTTCTGGTACAGTTTATTGTAAAATTCATAACTATTTGTAAACTTATCCAAATTGGCCAAACAATATACCAAATCAAAGCTGACAACTTCATCTAAAAGTTTACTTACGATATATATCCCAAATTATTATCCTAAGACGGTAATAAAACCCAACGAAGATGATTCATCAAAACTGCCCTGTTTTTGGCAGACTCACCGCCGTCAAATTCTCATCTCTAAAAGGCTATAAGATTTGCTCGAATTAGAAGCAATTTAACACTTACACATAATTATCACGGTCCTCAACGAGTTTTGTGAAGAGACTGGTTCGAAAATCTCACTCCAAACCCTTCGATTTCGACTGCGAAAACAGGTGCGGCAGAAGGTTTACTATTTCTCAGAATTTCGCCAACATAGCTGTCGGGTTAAATTTGGTTATATAACTTGAAGAAATAACTAACAAAGTCTTTCTCAAATAACAAAGTCTTCTCACCTCGAGTTAGCACCAAAAGCAACATCATAGACCGAAATTTTCTTAGGTACACAACCACGAATGACACACCTGAAATAAGAATCCATTAGTTTCTTAAGCTTCACCTTCGATCACATTACTTTAAACTTGTTGCTCAATGTGCATAAGACAAATTTCAAATAACTAATGACTCAAATAACTAATGACACAGATAGATGCTAACTATGGACATTAAACTAGAAACCAACGTTATTTGTTGTCACATTTTCTTCCAAAAATCGTAGCAGGCCGTACGCTTATCCAAATTGGGAAAACAATATACCAAATAAAAGTTCACAACTTTATCTACAATTGTGATGATGATACCAACCCCAATTACTAAGATAACACAACAATAACAGCCCGAAAAGTTGAATACAGAAAGCTGCCAGAATTGTTTTGGACAAACTTGTTTGCTGTCACAGTTTATTTGAAAAATCATAACAATTTGTAGAGTTATCCAAATCGACCAAATAATATACCAAATCAAACCTCACAACTCAATATAGAAAACATCAGAAGACACATAGCCTAAATTATTACTCCAACATAACAAAAACAGCTCCGTATGATGATTAGGCAAAACTGCCCTGTTTTTTGACAGATTCGCTGTCGTCTGATTCCGACCCCTAAAAGGCTATAACACGTGCTCGAATTGGAAATAATTAAACACTCACTCATAGTTTTCGAGGTCCTCTACGAGTTTTGAGAAGGAATGATTCCCAAATTCACACTCCAAACCCTTCGATTTTGGCTCCGAAAACAGATACGGTAGCAGATTTTATTTCCCTTAGAGTTCCGGCGAGCAGGCTGAATTTCACACCAAATTTCGGCGACCACCGACGAATAAAACTGCCGAGCACCACCATCAATGGGAAGCTAACTTCTCGAGGTTTGTAACGGTACCTTCTATCATCAATACTCCACCGTTAACACCTCCGTTCATTTAATTATTTGAAGAGCCAAAAGCTGAACTCCAGACTCCGGCCACCATCGACGACCTCTGCCGGAAATCACCAACACCCGAGTACATCCGAACTCACAATTATTCCAAAGGTGGGTCCTGATCGACGAGATTCATTCTCGAAGGTCTCCAAACTTTTATTTTTCCTTAAAACCCAAATCTGAAATTATCTTTTCAAATCCCCAATTCTTTTCCTATAATCAATTCATCCGAATCCCCTTTATTGAATTCAAAAATTCTCTGATAGGGGTAGGAAGTAGGGCTTGGAGAAATTGGGTGAAATAGGAGAATACTTTTGGGGAAAACAAAAGAGGTAAGATAAGAGGGATTTTGGTGCACACATAATGAAGAAATTAAGAGAGAACTCCATCTTGATTTTCTGTGATATTAGCCGAGAATTGGTAGAGAGAGAGAAAGAGAGCGTAAGGAGAGAGTGAACAATTTTGTGATGAAGGAACGAAAGAAGGAGAATTGGGCCAATTGGCTGTATTTTTCATTATTTGCATTTTGGCCCTCCATCTTTCTTTTATTTTCTTTTCTTTTCATGATTTGTTTAAAAACTAAATTAGTGACCAAATCTATTTGATTTCCGAAAGTAGTTTCATAGTGACCAAATTCAATTGGTTACTAGCAACCCGATTAGATGGTTGTTAATAATTAAATTAAAGACTTGTAGCAACCGTAAAAAAATTTAATGATAAATTGGTCACTATTGACACTAAGTTATAGTGACCATAAAAATCGTCGGGACAAACTTTAACTTTAGTTGCTACAAGATGTCTAGCTATTAGTGACCACTTATAGCTACCAAATGTTCGTTCGTCGCAACAAGATTTAACCCTTCCCACTTTTGCTACAAAAGTACTTTTGGTCACTAAATGTGAATATTCAGTGACCATTTAGTTATGGTCGCTGAGAATTTGGTCACTGAAACTAGTTTTTCTTGTAGTGATTGTAATTACTATCCTAACAAAATCAATTTTTATATTTAATCTTACGAATTAGATATTTAACTAAAAAGACGAGAAAATCTACAAATGAATATTCTAATGTTTGGTTTCATCTCCCTGGCACAAAGCGATGGTTGAATTAGTTGTATTGTCGTAATTGACATTAATCTCGTACTCGTTTAAGAAACAAGTTTGTGAGAAATAAAGAAAGACAAATTTGCTGCATGCCCCTGTTCAAATCTCAAATAACAGACAACATGTCACTTTTCTAGCCAAAAAAATGAAGGATAAGTAACATTAAACCACTCAAACTTTGCCCGTTTATGCGGATTGCCATATCAACAAAAAAAATAAAAATTCAATCCCACCTGAACTCAATAAGTTGTGCCACGATACCCTTTTAATAATTAGGCGAAAATGGCCGGAACTAAACTCATGTGCTTGCACATGCAATTTGAAAGGGCATTTTTGTCTTTTCAAAATCACAATCCGTAATTCTTCGAATTCTTCTATTTTTTTCTTCCATTTTCCTCCGCATCTTCTTCGCTCTTCTTCCTCATCCTCTTCTTCATCTTTTTCGAAAAGGAAAAGCCAATCAACTCCTTCCACATCTACATTCTCCATCTTGGATCACATGCAAAACTTTATCAGTCATTGCAGCAAAAGAAAAGTATGTTAATGTACAACATGTTCATCCATATTTCGCATGCAATAAAAGGAGAAACTGATAGCTACTATATAGCAGAGTTACCACAAAAAAATATCTGTTTTTTGAAAATTAAAATACAAGGACGTAACTGAACTTGTTTTTCTTCATATAATCATATACTCAACAACTGACAGCTCAGCAATACAATTAGAACAGAAACAATTCGCTTTTATTATTTCTAAATATTCTTGTTTTCTTTCATCTAAACAGCAAGTACATCAATAAGCCCTTAACTGGCTTCTCCTTTTCGAAAAAAATGAAGAAGAGGAGGAGGAAGAAGAAGAGCAAAGAAGAAAGTCAAAGAGAAATAGAAGAAAAAAATGGAAGAATTAGGGATTGTGGTTTTGAAAAGACAAAAAACCCTTCCAAATCGCATGTGCAGCACACATTGGTTTAATTCCGACAATTTTCGCCTGAAAGTTCAAAAAAAAAAGGTAACGTGGCACAACATATTGAGTTCAGGTGGGATCGGATATTTTTTTTATTTTTGAGGTAGTAATCCGCAAATACGAACAAAGTTTAGGTGGTTTAATGCTATTTACCAAAAAATGAATTAGGGTGCAAAGTGCCAAGCAAAATGTAATTGAAGGGTAAATTCTGCCGTTTTTCCAATTTAAGCCGGCAAAGTACCAATGACATGTAATTTAAGGGTGCAAAGTGCCAAGTACCCGATCTATCACAATCGCAAAAATAATATGATATTGTCTCTTACCAATTGTTAATTGGATTGTTCGTAACTTTTCTACCTCTCTTTCTTTAATATGACAAAATTGAAGAGCAATCACTATAAAAACAAAGTAGAAGAAATGAATGTAGGGTTCAATACACACTCGTTTAATTATAGGGTGCGTAACAATTACTCTCTTCAAGTATTAAATGTAACACTTACCTCCTTTTTCCTCTTTAAATCTTTAACACCATTAATAATAGGGCGAATTGCATACAACCCCTGGGAGGAGGACTTATTTGCACTCCTATCCACACCAAAATCAGTCGTATATAGACGCCTGATAAGTGTTCGTTTTGCACGATTTTTATTTATCGAATCTTTGAGTGTTGGTCTTCGTTCGTCCGAGTTTTCGGCTTTACATGTACATATTATGCGTTTCTTGTTTTATTTATATTTTAGGTAAAGTGAAGCTATTTTTGCCGGTTCGAAACGATTTTGGAAGCGAAGTCGAAAATCAAACCAAACACGTGCAAAAGTGCATTCCCACGGGTTGTGACAGTGTTTGGTATTTCAAGCATAACTCCCGCATACGACTTCCGATTGAGCTGATTCAAGAAGCATAAAAAAGTTAACTTCAAGGTCTACAACTATAGTGAAATGCAAAATTGTCAAATTCAAGCAATAAAGGGGTCAAAATAGGGTTTGAAGTTGACGCAGAGGCCAGATCGCGATCCACTCTTCCTGTATCGCGATCTGAGGTCACTTACTGAACGTTTTTCGATCAGGACCCAGATCGCGATCCAGCTTTCTTGTATCGCGATCTGGGGGTCTCACATAACGTTTTTTGATCAAGAACCAGATCGCGATCCACCATTCCCGTAACGCGATCTAGCAGACGGTGCGCAGTTTTCGAGGCTGCCAGATCGCGATCCAAGAAGCCCAGATCGCGATCTGGGCGTGATAAGTGTTCGTTTTGCACGATTTTTGCTTATCAAATCTTCGAGTTTTGGTCTTCATTCGTCCGAGTTTCCTCTTTATTTGTATATATTATTGCATTTCTTGTTTTATTTCTATTTCTAGGTTTTATTAGATATTTTTGCCGAGTCGAAGCCATTTGAAAGCGAAACCGAATTTTCAAGCCAATTTTGAGGCCAAGAAGACCCAGATCGCGATACAGGAACTCCGTATCGCGATCTGGGGGTTGTCACATAAAGAAATTAAAAGTATCAAGACTCAGATCGCGATCTGACATTCTGAATCGCGATATGGGGGTGTTCACAGAAGGCTTTTTACTCAAGATCCTGATCGCGATCCAGCACTCTGTATCGCGATCTGGGGGGTCTCACAGTGCATAATTGTTGAAGACCCAGATCGTGATACACATATCCGAATCGCGATCTGGCATGGCGGTGGGCAGTTCCCCGAGGCTGCCATATCGCGATCCAGCCAACCCTGATCGCGATCTGGGCGCGACTTTTGAGAAAGATATTTATTTTGCAAAACTTCTTGAGGAAGCTTTGCATTTGACTATAAATAGAAAGACCCTTTCATTCTTCATTTCTTCTTCGACTTTTTACGGTTTTCAACAGTTCTTCGCGGGAATCATCAACGGGGGTTTCGACTTGGGTTTTTCTTATGCAATTTCTTTACGTTTTGTTCTTCATTTCTTGTGTACATTCTTTTGAAATTTTGTTTGTTATGAACTAAGAACATTTTCTTCTAGGGTAATGAAGCCTTGTATACATTGATTTCGATCGTCATTTCTGTTATCTATTTGTCGTGTTTCGATTTCGTTTATGTTTTCCTATATTAAATGCTTCTGATTGTTTGATCAGCTCTCGGATTGATATAAAATATGAATGAACTCGAGAGAGGATTTCTTGTTTGAATTTAGGAAAACATAGCTCGGGGTGTGGAAACGGAGACGTGATGCACTTCGGGTAGCCCTTAAGGACTTGACCTAAATGTTCTCTTAATAGAAGGTTCTGAACGGAGACGTCGGACCTGTGGGTAGACTCTAACTACACTGGAGACGGGGGTTAGACAGGCTAGGAGGTTTCGAGTATTACTGTTTTCTTGGTGGTTATTCGGGGTACAATCAAATTTCAATCGCCCCGGAAGACCAAGAGAAAACTATTTTTACTTGCCCCTACGGTACTTTTGCATTTCGTAGGATACCTTTCGGTTTGTGTAATGCACCTGCTATCTTTCAATGATGTATGATGTCTATTTTTCATGATATGGTAGAAGAATTTCTTGAGCTGTTTATGGATAACTTTTTCTGTGTTTGGATCGTCTTTCGATCATTGTGTGCACAATCTAGAACTTGTTTTGAAAAGATGTACATAAACGAACCTTGTTTTAAATTGGGAAAAATGTCATTTTATGGTTCGTGAAGGTATTGTTCTAGGTCACAAGGTCTCGAAAAAGGGTCTTGAGGTGGATAGGGAAAAAATCGAAACGATTGAAAAATTGCCTCCACCGAAGGATGTCAAGGGGGTTAAAATTTTTTTAGGGCATGCTGGGTTTTACCGTAGATTCATTAAAGACTTTTCGAAAATAGTATAACCATTATGTCATTTGCTTGAGAAGGAAGCCGTCTTTGATTTTGATTCTGCTTGTTTGCAGGCTTTCACGTTCCTCAAGGAGAAGCTAACCCAATCACCGATTATGATTACTCCCAATTGAGAGGAACCATTCAAGATCATGTGCGATGCGAGCGACTATGTTGTAGGTGCAGTATTGGGACAAAGGAGGGACAAAATCTTCAAAGCCATCTACAATTCCAGTCGTACACTTGACCAGGCACAGAAGAACTATTCAACGACCGAAAAAGAAATGCTTGCAATTGTTTTTGCAGTTGACAAGTTCAGATCGTATATTTTGGGCTCTCAGATGATCATTTACACCGACCACGCAGCTATTCGATATCTGTTCGCAAAGAAAGACGCCAAGCCCCGACTCATCAGATGGGTACTACTACTCCAGGAGTTCGACTTGGAAATCACAGACAAAAGGGGAGCGAGAATGTGGTAGCAGATCATCTTTCCAAACTCATACTTGACGAAGTTCTAGCCGAAGGAAATATTCAGGAATCATTCCCTGACGAGCAACTGCTCTCCATTAGTACTCACACTCCGTGGTATGCTGATGTGGCCAACTTCTTGGCTAGTGGAATC